TGTGTCATTATGTAACAGGTGGAGGCGGCCACAACCGCTCCCTCTTTGTTGTGGTAAACACTGCCATTTAGTGACAACCTTTTGAAGCCGTCTATTATTATAATTATTACATGTAGTACATTATTATGTATTATTATTATACATATTATATTATTACAGTGGACCCCCGCTTAACGATCACCTCCAAATGCGACCAATTATGTAAGTGTATTTATGTAAGTGCGTTTGTACGTGTATGTTTGGGGGTCTGAAATGGACTAATCTACTTCACAATATTCCTTATGGGAAAAAATTCGGTCAGTGCTGGCACCTGAACATACTACTGGAATGAAAAAAGTTCGTTAACCGGGGGTCTACTATATTATTATTATTATTATTATTATTATTATTATTATTATTATTATTATTATTATTATATAAATAATTTGTAATTTTTATTCACACAAAAAATATAAGATTTACTGTTATTCCTTATTGCAATAACTGTATAAATAATGTCAACCCATTCATGACTGCATATTGGAATGGACAGTTTACTCTGAAACAGCCAAGCAATGGACCATTTCTCCTAGGTTGAGCTCAATTTCAAGGCACTTTTCATCATGAAAACAATCAAAATCATATCTATTTCTGTAATATATCTTCCATTTTATCAAATGAGACCAAAAAACCGAGAATACAACCATAAAAACCATTCGAAATTACCACTACAGGGTGGCTAATTGCTGAGAAGTGAACTCAATTATTTATGCTTAAATTTCTTTCATTCTTGGTGTACGTTAAGAAGCATTTTTCCATCATACATTGCCCAAGTTTCAATAAGATAGTCCAACAAACAAATGAGATACAATTCCCGAGATCAAGAGCAAGAACCCCTCACCAGTGTCAAGGAACCTGCCTTGAGGTCTGGTTGCTTATGGAAATTTTGCTTGCGTATGGAAGCAAAAAATCGACCCATCAACTGCTCATATTTGGAAAAACTCGCACGCGGACACGCTACCAAGTAGAGGTTCCACTGTATTAGGTACTGAAATTGTACTCAAATTGTCACAAACACATTGACAGGTGGACATTTGCACCTGCCATGGTCATTTACTATTATCTAGGAATATATACAAAGTATTTATAGGTCCCAGCAATGTTTTGGATACACAGGAGTATAGAAGAAGAAGGAAAAAGGAAGAAATTCCCTTGAAGCAATGTGTAAGACATGTGTTCAGTGACAAGCATCCGGAGGGCAGTGATAAGATCATATATGAGATGACATTTGATGGGCTCCAGCGAGGGTGCAGAGATAAGGGATGACATTTGATGAGCTCGTATCTCTGATTATCTGTCTCTCTCTCTTATTTCTCTGTCTGCTTGTCTCTCTATCTCAGAGAGAGTTACTGTGAACCAACAGGTATTCTTATGCATTATATCTACAATTGCAGTATAGCACTTTGGAATTTTTAGGTTATCCTAAGTAATTTACACTATGTATAATTGCATTTGTGTGTACCTGTTAGACAGAGACAGACAGTTTACTGAGTGGTGACCTGTACTTAGCTCAGTGAAGACGTGTCTAGTGTACTCCCTGTGGACTGAACGAAGATGCCCTGCATTGAGCAACTTTAGCAGTAGCTTAAGGAGGAATTGAGGATAGCGAAGCTTGAGATCCGGCAACTAACAGAAAAAAACAAGAGGATTTGTAGTAGTCCTCCAGTTGTGAGTCCTCAGATCAAGAAAGGAACCTGGACAGTGGCCAGACAGCATGGAACGAAGTTGAAGATCAAGAGGACGAATGGAGAGGTAGAAACGATGAAGAAGAAAGAGACTTCTGTGGAAACTGTTGTGGAAACAACGAACGCATTCTCCGTGCTACCCGATGAATGTGAGTTGACTAATGGGAATGTGACGACAAACGACGCCAAGGACGAGGAAGGCGAGTTGACATCCCTTGAAACCCCAACAATGACCATCGAGAACGTCACTATGAACAACACCATTGAAGGTAAGAACATTGTTATAGTTGGGGACAGTCAGGTGAAATTTATGGAAAGGACGTTTTGTGTTAGGGACAGGAAGAGGAGGCAGAGGGTATGTTTTTCTGGGTCTGGGATGAGGTATATCATTAGCCGTCTGGACGATATCATGAAGGGTAATGGGAGCAATCCTATTATCTGCCTCAGTGCGGGAGGCAACGATGTTGGCAGACATAGGAGTGAAGACCTGATTAGCAGGTAATAGAGATAATTAGGAAGAAGGGTGGGAACCCTGTGATATATGGCATTTTGCCCAGGAGAGGAGTTGGAAATGAATGGTTGTCCAGGGCAACTGGCATCAATTGCTGGCTGGAAAAACACTAAGTAAAATGCATTAGCTTTCATAGACAACTGGGACCTCTTCTATGGCAGAAATGACATGTATGCCAGGGATGGGGTTTACTTATCTAGGCTTGGGATAGGAGCACTGGCCAATGCAGTGGAGGGAGCTGTCAGGTCTTCAAATTACAAATAGATAGTGGATAGACTTTGGAAAATCAATGTATTCTGAGTGAAGCAATAGTGTGAGTTTTAAGGAAACCAGTTGTAGGTAGAAAGAGGTAGAGTTATTAGTGAATACAGGAAAGCTAGTGGCATTAGGTGACAAGGAGAGTAACAGGCATAGTGGAGGAACAGAAATCAGCAGGAAGAGAAAAGAGAAGAGAGGGTTTCTGAAAATATATTATACTAATAATCATAGTGCAAGAAATAAGATGGACGAGTTGAGATCACTTGCAAGAGCGGGTAACATTGATGTTTTTGCCATAAGTGAGACATGGTTTAATATGAAAAATAGGGACATGCCCGCTGAATGTCACATTCAGGGTTTTAAATTGTTCCAAGTAGACAGAAGTATCAGGAAGGGGGGTGGGGTGGCACTCTATGTCCATGATCATTTAAATTGTTGCATAAAATGGGTATAAAGTCTGAAACACATACTGAGTCTGTTTGAGTAGAATTTTCAGAGGGGCACGAAGAAATTGATTTTAGGCGTGATATACAGTCCACCAAACTTGGATAGAGACCAAGGAAGACTACTGTGGGAGGAAACTGTTAGGGCCACAAGGCACAATAATGTTGTAATTCTAGGGGACTTTAACTTTAGTCAGATTGATTAGAATTTTTTGACTGGGAATTTAGAATCTAATGACTTTTTAGTAGTAGTTCAGGATTGTTTTTTGAAGCAGTTTGTGACAGAACCTACAAGGGAAAATAACCTGCTTGACTTAGTTCTGGCAAACAGGGAATCCCTTGTTAATAATTTAGAAATTTCAGAGGAACTTGGTGCAAGTGATCACAAATCAATTACCTTTAGCATTGAATGGAAGTATGATAGTCGGGATAACTCAGTATCAGTCCCAGATTTTCGCTTAGCAGATTACATTGGGATTAGAGAACACTTTTCATCTGTGGACTGGGGTAACAAAGAGAGCTATCAATATGACAGTTTTCTGAACACTACATGCTGCCCAAAGAACATTTATCCCTTATAAAGAAATTAGATCAAATAGAAATGACCCAGTGGATGAATAATAGGCTCAAATATCTTTTAGGGCAGAAGAAAGGAATTTATAGGCATATCAAAAGAGGTGAGGGTCATCTTATGAATCAGCATATTGACATTAAGAGGGATGTTAAAAAGGGGATAAGAAAAGCTAAACAGGACTACAAAATTAAAGTTGCTAGGGAATCAAAAACTACACAAAACAGTTTTTTCCAGGTCTATAGAACAAAAGTTAGAGATAAGATAGGTCCCCTTAAAAATAACTATGGGTTTCTTACTGGCAAAGAGAATGACATGTGCTCTATTTTTAATTATATTCTCTCGGTTGTCACTCAGGAAGACACTAATAATAACCCAATAATTAAGTTTTTTTAGTGGGCCCGAAGAAGATAAATTATGTAATATCACAGTCACTAGGTAAATGGTTAACCACGATGCACTCTGTGGACCTGCTTGGCCTTACTTTTTTTCAAAGAGATGAAGAGATTGTAGAAAACCCAAAGAGTTGTGCTGAGATCAAAAATATTGGCAAGTGGCATATTTGAAGGAATGAAAAATTGTGCATACTAGTACGTACATCAAAGACAATTGTCAGTTTTGTACTAGTATGTCAGACACAGTTTAAGAGTTAACAGGTGTAAAAAAATGAATGTAGAGACCAGTGAGTGTGTAAACAGAAAAACACAATAATTACAGTTGCATTACTGTGTACCAGATGTGTTGTATTGTTGTGTACCAGGTGTGCTGCATTACTGTGTACCAGGTGTGTTGTATTGTTGTGTACCAGATGTGCTATATTGTTGTGTACCACATGTGCTGTATCATATACCAGGCATGCTGTTGCGTACCAGTATTGTTATATACCAGGCATGCTGTTGTGTACCAGTATTGTTGTATACCAGGAGTGTTAAATTGTATACCAGTTATGTTGTATTGTGTACCAGGTATGTTATATTGTGTGCCAGGTATGTTACACTGTGTATCAGGTGTGTTGTACCCAGGTATGTTGTACGCAACTCTGGTCTACTGTACAACAAAAAAAAAAACTGCGACAAACTAAAAATTTCTTTCTTATTTTCATCAAAACATGATGAGGAAAGGAATAATCATTAAAATCTGTATATATTGGTTTTAGCATTAGAAAAATCTGAATATGTTTAAATTAATATGAATTAAAATTTTCAGAAAACATTAGGTCTTATTCAAATATTTTGTAATTAACAAGATATTGTTTAATAACTTCCAGAATTTAGAATTTTATTTTTCAAATTTTGGGAAATTGTGAAGAGAGAAATTATTGCATTACTCAACTGTATTCTCAGCCAAAAAATTAAATGGATGGTGTTGTACTACAGGAACTTGTGCTGTATGATCCACATGGGTTTAGCACCCCACAAATACATTTGTACACAAGTCACAAGAGCAACAAGAGAGCCCCAGAAGCACACCAAACAAAGCAAGCAAGCACCAACCTGTGAGACACGCTTGAGTGTTGGAAGGTTGGAACGCCCGGGAGGGCTTGGGAGGTGCACCTTGATGCTCACTGCTACCATTCAACTTGTTGGAGTGGTTTTTCAAGTCCTTCTGCATTTTCCAACTCAGCACTTCATCCTGGTCTGGTAAGGTCCAAGCACAGAATCAGCTGCATGCTATTAGGGCCCATGGTCACATAGGGACAAATAAACAGCTAACAAAGCTAAGCATGCTACAGTTTCTTATGTCTATACAAATGAACCACATAATAAGCAACAACAACAATATAACAAGAACATTAGCTTACCATCATGGTGTCCATGCTTCTCCTGGGTGTGAGTGCCAATGCTAGAGAGAGAGAGAGTGTCTGAGCTCAGAGTGTCACCAATAGAACTAGTAGGGGATGTCCTCCCACTTTTGGAAGCGCCATCTTGAGGAGGAGCAGGAGCCCGTCGAGCCTTCCTCTTAAGAGCGATGGAGCCACTAGGAGAGGAGGGGGAGGGATGAGGTTTAGTGGTGGAAAGGGATGGTGATGGGTGTGGTTTAGCCGGGATAGTAGAAGGTGATGTCGGGGGAAACAGTTCTCTTAGGTTGGTTGGCGGTGGTGGAGCGATAATCCTTTTACGTGTGGTGGAGCCGTGAGAGGCAGGGCTGTGTTGTGTACTACCACCACTGACTTGATACATCTGTGATGGAGCACTGAAAATATAAGCCAAAAGCATTAGTGAATATTAAAGAAAATGTTAAACCTGGAAAATAATACATTACTAAAAAATGATTCTTCCTCTTACTTCAAGGAAGGAAAAAAAGTGTGCTAGTTAGTGAGAGGGAGATGAAAAAAAGGAGGAAGAATAGGAAGAAAAGGAGGAAGAAGAGGAAGAAAAGGAGAAAAAGAAAAGGAGGAAAAGGAAGGAGGAAGAGGAAGAAAAGGGGGAAGAGGTAGAGAGAAGTAAAATAGAGAGGAAGGAAATGAAGAATTATCGAGGAAATAATAAATTATTCGGTGATCAGTTACTCAAAATCCAACGTTATCCAGCAGTCTTGGTCAATCTGGAGAAAATGTTTCACACAGCAATTACTGGAAAACAAAGGTGGCACAAGAACTGCTATAATGGAGGAAGTGCAGGGGTGGCTATCTAGGGAGGCTCAGGGGTGGCTATCTAGGGAGGCTCAGGGGTGGCTATCTAGGGAGGCTCAGGGGTGGCTATCTAGGGAGGCTCAGGGGTGGCTATCTAGGGAAGGGTCAGGGGTGGCTATCTAGGGAGGCTCAGGGGTGGCTATCTAGGGAAGCTCAGTGGTGGCTATCTAGGGAGGCTCAGGGGTGGCTATCTAGGGAGGCTCAGGGGTGGCTATCTAGGGAGGCTCAGGGGTGGCTATCTAGGGAGGCTCAGGGGTGGCTATCTAGGGAGGCTCAGGGGTGGCTATCTAGGGAGGCTCAGGGGTGGCTATCTAGGGAAGCTCAGGGTGGCTATCTAGGGAGGCTCAGGGGTGGCTATCTAGGGAGGCTCAGGGGTGGCTATCTAGGGAGGCTCAGGGGTGGCTATCTAGGGAGCTCAGGGGTGGCTATCTAGGGAGGCTCAGGGGTGGCTATCTAGGGAGGCTCAGGGGTGGCTATCTAGGGAAGCTCAGGGGTGGCTATCTAGGGAGGCTCAGGGGTGGCTATCTAGGGAGGCTCAGGATGGCTATCTAGGGAGGCTCAGGGGTGGCTATCTAGGGAGGCTCAGGGGTGGCTATCTAGGGAGGCTCAGGGGTGGCTATCTAGGGAGGCTCAGGGGTGGCTATCTAGGGAGGCTCAGGGGTGGCTATCTAGGGAAGCTCAGGGGTGGCTATCTAGGGAGGCTCAGGGGTGGCTATCTAGGGAGGCTCAGGGATGGCTATCTAGGGAGGCTCAGGGGTGGCTATCAAGGGAGGCTCAGGGGTGGCTATCAAGGGAGGCTCAGGGGTGGCTATCTAGGGAGCCTCAGGAGTGGCTATCAAGGGAGGCTCAGGGGTGGCTATCTAGGGAGGCTCGGGGATGGCTATCTAGGGAGGCTCAGGAGTGGCTATCTAGGGAGGCTCAGGAGTGGCTATCTAGGGAGGCTCAGGGGTGGCTATCTAGGGAGGCTCAGGGGTGGCTATCTAGGGAGGCTCAGGAGTGGCTATCTAGGGAGGCTTAGGGGTGGCTATCTTGGGAGGCTTAGGGGTGGCTATCTTGGGAGGCTTAGGGGTGGCTATCTATGGAGGCTTAAGGGTGGCTATCTAGGGAGGCTTAGGGGTGGCTATCTTGGGAGGCTTAGGGGTGGCTATCTAGGGAGCTTGGGGTGGCTATCAGGAGGCTAAGGGTGGTATCTTGGGAGTTAGGGTGGCTATCTTGGGAGGCTTAGGGGTGGCTATCGAGGGAGGCTTAGGGGTGGCTATCGAGGGAGGCTTAGGGGTAGCTTTCTGGTAGGAAGGAGGACTAGGAGACTTATTTTGAGGCACCATTATTATTATTCTGTTTATGGGGACTAATGAAAATTTTGAGGAGCTGAAGCCCTCCCCTAGTTTTCCCTTGGTGCTGACTGCCGAAAAATCACTACCTGAGTCCATCAGTCTGTCATCACATAGTTCACAAGAGGCTGAGTAAAGGACTCAAGAAATCGTAATAACACAACTGTAAACAAACCATGGATGCAGGAACAACAGTGGACAGTGAGAGAATTGTTGGAGGGAAACGAGCAAAGAAGTACCTTGAGGAAACAACATTAGGCTACCTTGACGTCTGAGAGATGATAAGGGAAACAACCAAGGAGATACTTAAATCAGACCCAGAGACATGGAGGGAAATGAAATGGGATGAGGATAGAGAGAAGTCACTCATTATTCATGGGCTCCATGAGGCTAATGGGAAGACTTATTACAAAAGGAGACAGGGGGAAGTAAAAGAGATTGAGAGCATCATTGTGGTAACAGGAGAGGACACAACCCAACTGACAAATTTGAAGAGACTTGGGTGGTACTTGAGGAAAAAGAATCACCCAATCAAATTGACATTCAATACAGACATGATATGAAACAAGATCCTGCAGTGGAAACTAATGTTAAGGGGTTCCCAAAAAAACAGTGAGTGTACCTCGACAGCAACAGAACGCAAAAGAAGGGGGAACAACTGAGAGAAAGAGTAAGAAAGTACCAGTGACAGGAATGGGGGACCAAATGGGAGCATAGCCTCAGGGGGGTACAGCAAACACAACTACCCTTAGCATCCCCCTCAACTCCTACTACACTACACCAACCAAATACAATAACCAGAACTGAGCCACAATCAACACCCACATTCCCTCCCCCCTCCCAGCACTATTACCACCACAACTGCAACCTACTATAATATCCAGACCTGCCTAACACACCCACAGCCTACACCAACCCTTCCCCCTCCCAAATACACATCAAGAATAGAAGCTGAAGGTATGGCACACTAACACAGACAGAATTACAAATAAGAGTGAGGAGTGGCAGGAAAGAATCAGTGAGTCAACCCCAGACATTATAGCACTCACAGAGATAAAGCTCATGGGGGTGATAACAGATGCGATCTTCCCATCTGGCTATCAGATCCTGAGAAAAGACAGGGGAAACAGAGGGGGAGGAGTTGTACTGCTCATCAAAAACATGTAGAGTTTTGAGGAGATGGAAGGACTAGCCAGAGGAGTAGTGGATGACTACATAGTATGAATGCCTCAAATTGGGGGTCCAAAAGTGATGATAGTGATGTACAACCCACCACCAAACAACAGGAGGCCAAGACAAGAATACGATGAGAGCAAAAGAGCAGGATAAAGTTACTCATCATGGGAGACTTCAACCATAAGAAGATTGACTGGGGAAATCTGGAGCCACATGGGGAACCGGAGACATGGAGAGCCAGGATACTGGAGGTGGTACTGTAAAATTTCATGTAACATGTTGGGGACACAACCAGAGAGAGAGATGATGAACCAGCCTTGCTGGTTCAATGTCTCCTTGAACACTTCAGACATAGAGGATATCACACACAAAAGGCCACTAGGCACTAGCAATCACGTGGTCTTGAATTTTGAATGCAAGGTAGAGTTAACAATGGAGAGTAAAGCAGTATAAGAAGGATGAGGCAAGCCAAACTTCCAAAAAGGGGGCTCACAGGTATGAGGCAATTTCAACATATGGTACAGTTTGTAAAAGAGCTAGAGGGAAAGAGAGTAAATGAATATGATGGAACACGTGACCACAAAGTGCAGGGAGGCAGTGGAGAAGTTCATGCCAAGGAGCAACAGAAACAACAGGAAAACCAGAGTGAGCTCATGGTTTACCCAGAGTTGTGATGAGGCCAAAGCCAAGTGTTCTAAAGTATGGAAAAATTACAGAAGGCAAAGGACCCAGCAAAATGGAGATGAGCTGAAGAGCCAGAAATTAATATGTATGCATAAGGAGAGAAGTCCAGCGTCAATATGAGAATGATATAGCATCAAAAGCCAATTCTGACCCAAAGTTGTTATACAGCCACATCAGGAGGAAAACAACAGTCAAGGACCAGGTAATGAGGTAGTGCACACCGTGTGGCAGGTAGTGTACAATGTGTGGCAGGTAGTGCACACCGTGTGGCAGGTAGTGTACACTGTGTGGCAGGTAGTGCACACCGTGTGGCAGGTAGTATACACTGTGTGGCAGGTAGTGCACACCGTGTGGCAGGTAGTGTACACTGTGTGGCAGGTAGTGCACACCGTGTGGCAGGTAGTGTACACTGTGTGGTAGGTAGTGCACAACGTGTGGCAGGTAGTATACACTGTGTGGCAGACTGTGCACACCGTGTGGCAGGTAGTGCACACTGTGAGGCAGGTAGTGCATACTGTGTGGCAGACTGTGCACACCGTGTGGCAGGTAGTGCACACTGCATGGCAGGTAGTTTACAACGTGTGGCAGGTAATTCACAATGTGGCAGGAAGTGTACACTGCGTGGCAGGTAGCGCACACTGTGTGGCAGGTAGTGTATACTGTGTGGCAGGTAGTACACACTGTGTGGCAGCTAGTGTACACTGTGGCAGGAAGTGTACATTGTGTGGCAGGTAATGCACACTGTGTGGCTGGTAGTGCACACTGTGTGGCAGGAAATGTACAATAAGTGGCAGGTAGTGAATACTGTCTGGCAGGTAGTGTACACTGTGTGGCATGTAGTGCACACTGTGTGGAGGTAGTGCACACTGTGTGGCAGGAAGTGTACAGTGTGCCTGGTAGCGCACACTGTGTGGCAGGGAGTGTACACTGTGTGCCAGGTGTACACTGTGGCTGGTAGTGTACACTGGCAGAAAGTGCACACCGTGTGGTAGGTAGTGTACACTGTGTGGCAGGAAGTGTACATTGTGTAGCACGTAGTGTGCACTGTGTGGCAGGTAGGGTACACTGTGGCAGGCAGTGTACACTGTGTGGCATTTAGTGTACACTGCATAACAGGTAGTGCACACTATGTGGCAAGTAGTGTACACTGAATGGCAGGTAATGTACACGTGTGTGTTAGGTAGTGTCCACTGTGTGGCAGGTAGTGTACACACCTGTGACAGGAAGTGTACACTCACGCGCAGCTGGTAGTGTACACTGTGTGGCAAGTAGTGCACACGTGTTGCAGGTAGTGTACTGTGTGGCTAGTGTACACTGTGTGGCATGTAGTGTACACTGGCTGGTAGTGTACAGTATGTGGCAGGTAGTGT